TGGAATAAAGTCAACATCACCACATAGAACTTTTTTTTCTTGTGGTACTGGGGTTTGAACTCAGGGCCTGTAGCCACCCCTTTTTTGAGATGGGTTTTTTTGGTTTTTTTTGAGATAGGGTCTTGTGAACTATTTCCCAACCTGACTTTGAACTGCAATCCTCCTGATGTCAGCTTACTAAGTAGCTAGCATTAAAGGCATGAGCCACCAGTGCCAGGCTTCCCTCTTTCATCTTACAGGAGAATTAGTCTGAGTTCTATTAATTCCCTAGTTTCTATGCTTCAAGTGGAAGGAACAATTAGCTACATAATTTTGTCTGTTCTGGAGCACCTACTTCACAGGGCAATCTGATAATCTTATACATCATCCTCTCCCAGGGTCCTTCCATTCACAGTCAATAAGTATCTTTATATGGGGAGAAATATTGAGAGTTACTTCACATCATCCATTATCTTATTTATTTAGCATCCATTATTGACTTTTGCTTGCTACAATTATTATTGAGGTGTTTACCAAGTGTGATTTTCTTCTGCTTTTATTAATTGAATTTTAACAGTAAGAAAGAGCTGTCTTATCTCTCTCATTTGTTTATTCAGTTGTTTATAGAATGGTCAATGGATGTTTATTTTTCTGTGGGTTAAAATGCATTACTATCATATGTATTTTATTGCTTAATTTGCTTATCTTATATTTTTCTGTTTCAGTCCTGGAATCAGCCATTTGTCTGAGTACCCCTGATTCATTTTATGGTACTCAGAAACCATAATATGGGTGCTAGCCACACTCATTTCTACCAGGAGATTTTTTTTTTGGGGGGGGGTTAACTTCTTGGTTTTGATTTCACTAATTTCTGTACATATTTTAGTTTTCTAAGTTGCTGAGTTGGCTACTTAGCTGATTTATTTTTCTATTTTCTTAAAATAAAAACATTTACTGCTATAAAAGTTTAAGTGCAGCATTCATTCATTAATTTTTTTAAGCCAAATACTTAATGAATGCTTACTCAGCCCTATTCTAGGTACTTGGGATACATCAGAATAAAGCAAAATATTTCTGTCTTTCTGGAGTTTGCATTCTAGTTAAGGAAGACAAATAATAAGCATCTTGACTGTCTTAACTAGTTTTGATATATTTTAGCTATGATTCATTCTTAGGTATTTTCTAGTTTATATTATCATTTCTTTTTTGTGCTAGGGAACACTCATTGTGGCCAGAAAACATGGTCTTCATAATATTTATTGTATATTTGTTAAGGGTTGCTTTCTAGGTAAAAATATGCACTGCTTAAAAATAATATTTTATTTAGATTTTAAAAAATGTATATTCTTTAATTGTAATATTTATTTTTAAAGTCTGACCTCTAGATAAAAACTGGTAATTGCATTGTTCCAATGTCTTCTGTCTGTTTTCCTACACATTATAGAATGGTATTAATATTTTCCACTAGTTTTGTCACTGTGTCATTAATTATTTCCCTGTATTTCTACTGTTTTTTTATTTATGTATTCAAAGCTTCATTATTACATACTTTCAGGTTCATAATTACTATCTGTTACATCATTACTTTTATGAGTAGGTTGTACTAATGTCTTATGTAATAATTCTTTCCTCAGATTTACTTAATCTTGAAAATTTATATTCTAGTTTTCTTTCAGCTAGTTTTGACATATTACTTCAATTGCTATCTCTTTATCTTGTTCTTCTTCATCACCAGGTTTTAAGTATATGTCTTATAAATATTAGCGTTTTTTGTTTTGAAATTTTTTTGATTTCTGCTTTTTTTGGTAGTACTGGGTTTGAAGTCATGTTCTTACTCTTGCTAGGCAGGTGCTATTCTTCTTGAGCCATGCCTTACCCCTGGATTTAAAAAAAAACAATTTAACATTTTCTATCTTTAGCTAATAAACTTAGTCTGTTTAAATTTACTAAATAGACTACTGACATTTTATCTAATCTAAGCTATCATGTTTTAAGAGATGCATCATTATTTTATCTGCGCATATTGAGTCTATGTCAGATGCTTAAAAGTGAGTATTGTTATATTCGTCTTGAATACTGTCTTTTGTGTTTTGGTTGGACCTGCATTATATCTAATACCCACTGCTGCCCACTAAAGTATGACAGAATACCTTAAAAATATCTTACATATGGAACTCGTAGAACACTCAGTTAATTAAATCAGATCTTAATGAACATATTTCATGAATATCAAATGTATTCTTCACTGCTATGATTTGAGCTCATTGCTTTTTCTACATACATAATAATTTTCCTTAATGCCGAATCATTATCTATGAAAAACCTAATGTTTAAAACTATCAGCAATGTACATGACTCAACTCAAGTGAAGACAAATGGACATCTAGGATTGAGTTTATGCACAACAATAATAACTATGTTATAACTGCTGCATGGTCATCAGCAACTGTAAGGTGTCATTAGTTAACAAATTCATTTAGATGTTACTAATTGTATCAGAAAATTGATTTACTCATTTTTTTTTTGTATTTTGTTTTGTACTTATTCTAACTTTTCTTTCTTATTGTAACCTTTCCATTTCTGTCTCATTAAATGGCTTAAATATTTTTTCTCTTTATTTTTCTCTACTGACTGTGAAGTTATGAATTTTATTTCTGTTATCTTAGTGGTTCTTAAATTTTCAGTGTACTCTCTGGAATTAACTAAAGCTAAGTAATATCTCTACTTTTCTATAAAATTCAAGGATATTAGAGCAGATTAGCCTGGATCACTCTATTCCTCGGTTGTATATTATATTTGTCAATGTTTTCAGTCTACTCTATTCTACATTACAGTTTTACATTTGTATATAAATAGCTGGTGAAAATTTGATTTCTCTGGTAGGTGCTAAAAATAGTCACTGTCATTGTTTTCCATCAGCATTTAATTTTATTAGCTAGAATGATGCTTGACTTGCAGTAGGAAATAGATATTTGTTTCATTAACTGATTTTGTTTTTCATCAGCATTTAATTTTACTAATTACAATGATGCTTAACTTACAGTAGGAAGTAGATATTTGATTCATAAACTGATTGTTCTATTGTAAATAGACCTATATAGTAACTGGAACAAAATCTTTGTTCATATAAATCATCCATTTCTTAAGAGAATTCTAGTCACTTGATTTGAGATTTAGGCTCTCCAATACAGCCTGATTTAGAAGTTTATAGAGACTGTTGTGTAGCTATCAGATGACAAGAATTGGGATGTTTCAGGTATGTGTTAACACTTCTTGTTACATTTTCATGTTCATGTGAGGTAATATGAAAAGAAGGTTCAGATTATGAAGTGGTAGAAACTGGTTGAAATCTGAGAGGATTAGGACTTTTGGCTTGTTAAATACATTTTTTTCAGTGGTAACATAGTAAATTATTTATGTAGTTGAAATCCCCATTTTCCTTCTGTACTTTCCAGCTTCTTAAATCATGTTGGTTTAAAGATTACTTTGTGGCTGTGGCCATTTGCTTTTAGACATGAGGCAGAAAGTTTCTGTCACCTACCTCAGGAAGCAAAGACACTTACTGGAGTAGGTTTTGATCTAAGTGGACCAATGTTGGAGCAAAGATGTTTCTCACCAGCTTCAGACATATTAGTGAAGTAGTTTGTCATAGATTAAGAAGACAGGTTTTATACCCTTTTTTCTATATAAACACTGGACTCCTTCCCTGTATGTACTTTCTTCAGTTTTCATCTTCCTTGGACCTGAATAATCCCCTCATCTGGTTCCCTTGGAACTACTGCATGAATGAAAAAGAAATAACTATGTGCATGAAGATGAAAATAGAGTTTAAGTTAATATATGTAAGTTTAGTTTTGATGTTACTGTACAGAAGTCTGAGCTCTGTACAATTTATATCTAATGTTAACTGATATTGTTGGCATTGTTGATATCAAAATCTTTGGACAATAGATAACAAAATTAAACACAAGTTGGCTGAACTATAATGTGTAATTTTAGTGCTTTAATAAATTTGTGATGCATTTTTACATCTAAGTTTTAAAATAATATAAAAGAGAACAGTCAATAGATTTAGAAAAAAGAAAGGGAAAAATATTAAGAGTAATAGTAAGAGGACACAACATGTTAATAAATATGCTTAATTTGTATCTGGAGAACTTGATCTCAGTCTAACTACTCATTTTCATTTGTAGTCAGTTCTAGGTCCAATTTTGATCCTTTCTGTTTCCTTAAAACATTATTATAACTAACACCAAGCACAGTGCCTGTCATATTCTAGCTTCTTGATAAATATTGGTTATTTGAGTTAGTGAGGGAATAAATGAATGAAGGATGAAAAAAGAATAAGTGACAAAATTTAGACTTCTGCAAAACAATAAATATACATGTAAACTTTTCTTATTAAGATTTTAAAACACAGTGAGCTTTTAATCACTTAGGTAATGTAGAGCAAAGTATTGATTTGTTCTAAAATTTGATTGCTGGATTTTATAAAAGTTGAATTATTAATGACTAGATTCAAAAGATGACTTCTTAAAGTTTTTATTCTCATTTTAACTTGGATTATTCTAGAATTTTGATAAGTAGAAATTTCTACAAATGATCTACTAAAATGAATCAATTTTCATTTCTTAATTACCATAGTTTTTCACTCAGTGAAATTCAATAATTGGATTTTACTACTTCTCATCTACTGAGTTTAATGCCACATATCTAGAAAAATGTTTCCCCACACATTTTGGATTCATGTGATTAATTTCATCTGTTGGTTTCCCATGTTTGAATATTTAAATATGATGTATGGTAAGCAGTGTGGGCTGCAGTGTCAGATTTGAGTTTCAATCCCCGATTTCCTCCTTCTTAGTAAGCAAGTTGTTCAAGTCTTAGTAATAGCTTGTGTAAAATGGAGAGGGTACCTATGGCCATACGAGGTTGTAAGTTCTTAGCACAATCTCAGTGATATTGTAGATATTCATTAATTTGAAGCAACTATTATTTCTCTGTTGTGTTTTTTCCCATAGCTTTCCCCACAAATAAACCAGACAAAGAAGCAAGACATGTAATAAAAGTAGTAAGTATTGCTCCTACATTTGCATTTCACATGCATTTGACTTTTTTATTGCCTCTTTATTTTTGTAAAAAGTCTCACTTTAATTTTTATAAGTATCAGTAAACCTAATGTTGTATTTTCACATCATTGTATGTTAAGACTGGAGGACCATTGTTTTTGTATTATCACCTATCATGGCAATATAATCTTATCTAGCAAGCTACCCTTCCCCTTCACTTCCCTCCCTCCTCCAGATGGTAAGGTCTTTAAAGGCAGGCATTGATTCTATTTGTTTGTATTCCCTGTGCCTAGTACAGTGAACAAAATGTAATAGACATTCAGTAAAGATATCATGTATGCATCAACACCAGGGTAGTTTCCAGTGTGTCTGCCCTGATATACATGTTGGTATACAATGAGTGTCTATGTATGTTTATGTATATACTTCTCAGTGCTTTTAGTGTTTTCCATAAGACTACTTTCATGTGTAAGACTATATTGAGATAGTAGTACAATATGTTGTTTAAAAATGAGATTCTTCAACTTTATTTAGTGTTTTCTGAGATTTTTACTGGAAATCTGGTGCCTATGTTTTATAAAGAATGATTCAAATGCTCTCATATATACATATGTATACTCACTCATATTTTCACAGTTGAAATACCAATTCCATCTTTAGGATTATTTTTCCTAATAAAATTAATTATTCTTTTCTTTCATAGGAATACCAAGAAAATGGCCCATTATTTTCAGAACTTAAATTTTATCAGAGAGCTGCAAAAAAAGACTGTAGTAAGTAAAATTAGCAAAGTAAACTACTTCCATATATGTGCTTGCTAAAGCAAGTGTTAATATTTTGGTCTTTTTCTGTCCTTCTGGAAAATTCTTTTCCATAAGAAATTTTATTGTAAAGTGATACAGCTAACTGTTATAACATATAAAAGCAGGACAGATGGTATACAAATCTTGATATGGCATACATAATGGGTTATATATTTTAAGTCAAAGTTGTTTCTGCTACTTTACATAAAATGTTAAGTTGTTGATCTAAGCTACCAAGAGTTCTCTTAAGTATAAAAGCCAGCAGAATGAAATTATTTCTTTTACAAAGAATCATTTGGATAGGAAGGACATTAAAAAAAGACATTAAAATAGGTAGTAGATAAATACAGAAAAGGAATGACTATAAAATAGATTAAAGTGCATAGGAATGATTAAGTATTAAGATACTTATGAAAATATTAGAAACTTGAATGTTGAAAATTAATTGGAGCTGGATAGTGTATGTAGCAAGTATGAGTTATAGCCTGGCATGAGGGTACACACTTGTAATCTCAGTTGCATGGGGGTCAGATGCAGGAGTATTCCAAGTTTGAAAACAGCCTTGGCAAAGTTAATGAAACCCTACCTCATAAACAAAACTCAAAGCAGAAGGGCTGCAGCCATGGTAGTTCAAGTGGTAGAGCACTTGCCTAGCATGCGCGAGACTCTAAATTCAGTCTCCAGGATGGCAAAAATCAAAAACAAATGTAAAATGAAACAAAACAAAATCCTACCAATTAGACAATTTGGAAGAATAGAAAGCAATTTTTAGTAATACATGGCATAGGTAGGCCAAGTAAAACATTAAGAATATAATGTTAGGTTTAACGACTATAGTAGTCATGATTCACAAACCTTTACATCATTTTTATGAAAATGAATGATGGATCTGACCTAATTAGTTGTTTTTTCATAATAAAATCTCCTAAACATTAAGACTGTACTCTTTACTAATACCTTAAACTATGTCAGAGTTACAAATAGAGTCCATTAAACTTGATTGTATCAGGAGAGCTATCTTAAACATGAAACACACATGGTGGGAAGTGAAAAAAATTATTAAACTACTTGATTGTTTAAGTGGTGCAAGCAATCTAATTTTGGAGTTTTTGTAAATAAATTTAATCATAATGATTTCTATATATATAACAATTTCAAGAGTAAAATAATTTTTCTCTTTTTTGGACTGCCATCACTTTTGAGTTTTGAAGTACAGGTAATAAGGGGAAAAGCCATCTCTATACTGACCTTTTGGCAGTTATTGTGTTGTATTTAGAAATTTAGCTAGCATGTAAGTAAATTATTTTTATATGAATAGTAATATTTGTGAATAAGATACAAATGTATTTTATAAGACTATGACTTGTTTTTGTTAGTATTAATTTTAAAATGTCTGTATTTGGGGGTTAATTATCGTGATAACAAATAGAGTTTGAAGCTATTACATGGATACATTGATTTTTTAAATTTTTTTATTTTCTAAGAAGTTTTAATTACCATTTTGGTTAGCTAAATAAGTCTTAGCATCTTTGCAAAGGTAAAAAGTACCTTTCTAAATAATAATAATTATCATTTTTGTTGTGGTTAAATTTGTCTGTAGTCAAGAAGTGGATACAACTGAAACAACTTGATTATTTAGGAATTCCTCTGTTTTATGGATCTGGTCTGACTGAATTCAAGGGAAGAAGGTAAAAACAAATTATAATCAAATATTATAAATTATATATTCAATTATCAAATAACATATTCTTTATATGATCTATTAAATATCTGTTGCTTATAACAACAAACAAAAAAATCTTAGCTTCGGTGGGTAATGAATCTACAAGTGGCTTGGTGGCTGGAAGGTTCTAGTTAAGGGTTGTTCATGTCAATGTAGTCAGCTGTCTGCCATGGCTGCAGTCATCTCAAGGTCTTGTTGGAAGAGGATCTGCTTGTAGAGTCACTCATGTGGCTGTTAGTAGGCCTAAGATCTGCACTTACATTTGATCATGTTATTGTGGAAAGCCTGTCTTCTGATCATGTGGGTCTCTATATAAGCTACCTGAGTATTATAAAGAAATGACATCTGGCTTTCCTTAGACCAAATAATTGAAAGAGAGAGCAAGAGAACAGGCATAAGAGAGTATATCCAAGCCAAGAGTCATGGTGGTTTTATAACTTAAACCACCTTAGACATGATCTGTCATATCAGCTATATTCTCTTTGTTAGAAGCAAGTTACTAGGTCTATCTGATACTCAAGAAAGGGCTTCGTCTGTATCTCTTGAGGAGAGTCACAGCAAAGATTTATAGAAATATCTTTAAAACCACCAAAATGACTAGTTATGACATATAAATAATTTGTAAATAGTAATTTTAAGAAGAAAGAAAACTTTGCCACTTGTTATGTACCATTTTGTGCAGGGGATTTCATACATTGTATCTCATTTTATCCTTTGAGGAGCTTTTTAAAGATAGGTGATAATATTTTTATTTTGCAGGTGATAAAATGGCTGAAATATCATCAGTTTGTTCAAATCATTTTTAAATAATATAAGTTAAAACAAAAAGAAGAACAATAGGGACTGAGGCCCAGTAAATTGTGGTACATGTGTATCACGTAATGTGGCAGCCTGTGAAAGAACTGGCCACAAGTACACCAGTCAACTTGGAAGGGTTTATGTGAGACACTACTAGGAAAAATGACCAACATGCACAAAGTGCGTATGATAAGATCACATTTTTGTAAGAACAGACCCCCAGAAGTTCTTATGGGTGTGTTTGTGTGCGTATTACATAGATAGATATAGAATGGAGGCTGACGTGGGCGTGTAAGTGAAGGGAGGAAAAGAAGAGGTGCCAAGAGAGTGAAGTCTGCTTCTAAAAAGACATGTTTAGAGCCAGGCATGGTGGTGTGCCTTCAATCCCAGTCACTAGTAGGAGGATCACATTCTGAGGCTGGCCCTGGGCAAAAGTGGGATACCCTCCCTATCTGACTGCAGCAAAAAAGGACTAGAGGTGTGGTAAAGTGCTTGCATAGCAAGTACCAGGTCCTGTTTTAAACTCTAGTACTGCCTCCCCCAAATGATATGTTTGTAAATGTATAGAGAAGACAAATATGATTTTATGAGACTAACAAACAGATAACATTTTTCTGTATGGACAAATAATTTGTTCAGGACATATGGCAAAAAGCTGATGAAGTCAAAATGAGTAAAATTCAGGACTCTAACTTTTGAAAGCTCATTCTCTTCATCATCTAAGGCAGTGCAAATCGTTTGGTACACCATTCTCTTCTACTAAAAAACTAACTGTGAAGTAAATCCTAGTGGTATCCTCTTGTAAATGAATAGCAGAATTATTAATGTGCATTCATTCTCTGAAGGTTAAGCTTGTATCATATTTGGTTGTTAAGTTGGAAGTATTTTTCCTTCTTTCAAATTCATTAATAGACAGTTTCAAGTATTATTATCTCAGAAAGATCTCTGATGTCACTTTCTTATAGTTATAGATTTATGGTAATGGAAAGATTGGGAATGGATTTACAGAAGATCTCAGATAAAAATGGTCCATTTAAAAAGTCAACTGTCCTACAACTTGGGATCCGAATGGTAAGAAGGCATGATTTATTTCACATGTTCATTCCCAGATTATTTGCTTCTTACAATGTACAAATTTTTGCCCTTTGTGGAATTATTAGAAAAATGGAGTATTTCCTTACAAATGTTGATTACTAAGAGTAAAGGCTATTTTTGTGAAATTGATAACTGTAAGCTCCATAAGTGACAGAACATACTACATCTGATGCTGCTTACTCGAGTAGGCATTGGGTCTATAGTCTGATGTTTTCCCCACAGCTTTGTTTTACATGTCAGAACAAGCTTGCATAGGTGTAAGAATAACCTCTCTTTTATCAATTATATACTTATAACAATGCAAATTATGGCCAAGTATGTCATTTTCTGTACTAAACATATGATGATATGGGACTGCTTTAAAGTTTTTAGTATGAGTTGGGGAAGGTGGCAATAATTAGTTGTGGCAATAAATAATTTATACTTTGCTAAATAAGAACCAGTGAAATCATAATGGCCCCCATGTATACCACACATTTGTTATTGTTTATATTTGGCTTGCTTAAATCTAATTTTACTTTTTCCATTTTAACTAGATTGAAAGTATTTCATACCATGTTGTGACGTGGCAAATAAAACTCATTAATTTTCCCATTCATCTGTTCATCCATCCACCTAGCCAGTCAATGTTTATTGAGCACTAGGTATGCAAGGCCAAACAAAGGGCTTTAGTGGTAAAATTCAGGAGCTTTCAATTCGTATACAGAGGAAGAATACTTACTGACATGGTATTTGTTCTGAGTTCCCTAAGATTGGATTCATAATTATAGCTTGGTGAGGAAATGCTGAATGGGCTTCATGACTATTTCATTCTAGAGCTCTGATTTAATGTGTCTTTTCCTCTGTGAAGTGTGGTTTGAATACTGGACTATGTCAGGAGCATAGACATAAGTATTATTGATTCCTGGTTTCCTTCATCAGAGGTTCAATTAAAACACATGACATTTGAGGATCATTTTATTCAACCTTTTTTCAGAATGAGCAACCAGAAATTATGATATTTTGGAATAATTAGCCAGTAATTGTGAACTATGTCATTTTGTCATGGTTAATATGAAAACAAACCTAAGTTATTCTGCATTTAAAGTGTTATGTTGATCATAAGTTCTAAATAGTAGTGTGACTTTGAAATACCATCTGTTTCTTTTTGCAGCTGGACATATTGGAATATATACATGAACATGAATATGTTCATGGTGATATAAAAGCAGCCAATCTACTTTTGGGTTACAAATATCCAGATCGGGTAAATACAGTGTTAAACTTTTGCTTTCAATAAGGCTCTTGAAAATGGTATACTGAACCATTGTAAAAACAAATGTTGGACCCAAAAGAGTTTACAAATGAGGACTTAACATGATGATTGTTTTAATTTATCTTACCTTGCTTATCTAATCTAATTTTTGTACCAAACTAATGAGTAATTAGGATGAGGAAAAAGAGTCAGAGGAGTTAAGTCATTTGTTAATGGGCAGAGGGTCAAAGACTAAGCAGGACTGAATTTCTGAGCAAATACAAAGGACTATCAGAATCCAGTGAAAAGTGATGCATGCATGCAGACAAAAACAAAAGCTGTCATATTAGCTCCTCTTCTTCTTCTATATAGCTAATTCAGTTTTACATAGAGAGGCATGTCTGATAGAACTTTCTGTGATGATAGAAATATGCCTTGCTTGTCAGATATGGTAGCGACTAACAATATGTGGCTATTAAGTCCTTAAAACTTGACTAAGTACCAGCTGCTGATAAGTATGTGGCACAATGGATACCCTCATTTGTTAGTTGTGGGAATGCAGTATAGTATAGCCACTTTGGAAGACAGTTTTTGTAGTTTCTTTTCTCTCTTTGCAGTACTGGAGATTAAACCCAGGGATTTGTGCATAGTAGGCAGGTGCTCTACCACCTGCACCACACCTCCAGCCCTTTTTGCTTTAGTTTATTTTTCAGATAGGGTCTCAGGATTTTTGCCTGGGACCAGCCTAGGTGTTCACCCACCATGCCTAGATTTTTTTTTGTTGAAGTTGGATGTTTCTAACTTTTGTCTGGACTGAGTCAAACCATGATCTTCCCATCTCCATCTTTCATGTACCTGGAATTTCATGTGCCACACACCTGGCACATTTTTGCATTTTCTTAGGAGGTCAAAAAACTTAACATACCATCCAATAATTATCCTCCTAATGTTTACCTAAATGAGTTGAAAACTTAATGTCCACACAAAAAACCTGTACAAAGATGCTTATAGTAATTTTATTCATATTTATTGACATTTGAAATCAACCTAGATTCCTTCTATAGGGGAATGGATTCATCCAGACCTTGAATTATTATTCAGTGCTAAAAAGAAACTATCAAGACATGAAAAGACACAGAGGAACTTGGATGCATACATGAAAAAGTCAATCTGAAATGGCTCTATACTGTGTGATTCAATTAGATGACTTTCTAGATAAAGGAAAACTGTGGAAGCTGTAAAAAGAGCAGTGATAGCCAGGAGTTAGAAGGAAAGCAAGATAAATAGGTAGAGGACAGAAGGTTTGGGGACTGTACACTACAAAGGTAGATGCATGTTATTATTTCTTTGTCCACACAAGATCCATTGTGTGTTGCCAAGAGTGAATGTTAGTACGAACGGTGGACTTTTGATGACAGTGATATGTTAGTGTAGATTTAGCTATGATATCGTTGGGTTGGTTTTGTTCTGGTGAGGGGTGTTGATGTAGGGAGGCCATGTGTTTCAGGACTGTTGGTCCTTAAGCCAATCCTTAATACGGGAACTCTCTGTACTTTCCCCTCAATTTTCCCTAAATTGCTTAAATTTTACCTAAATTGAGCTTAAAAGTTCTCTAAAAAATGAACTGTATTATAAAAGTATAGCTGTGATTAAGGGACTGAAATTTAAATTTAACCTAATTTTAAATAATTTAAATTTAAATAACTACATCTAACCAGTAGCCATGTTGTTAAGCACAGGTTTACAGAGATAAAAAATTGAGTGTATTAAAAAAAAAAGCAAAATATAATTAAGTATTTAATGAGCCTTTGCATGAGTAAAGAAGCTTCTAAATAGAGGTATTAGAGAAGAAATATCTCAACATAAAACTTTGATATATTAAAATATCTATACATTAATATATCAATACATTTAAATAGACAAAAAGAGAAGTAAATGAGAAACTGGGAAATATGACAAATATTTGAGGGTACCTAGCAAGCACCAAATAATGAGAAAAGCAATTTCATAAAACAATGATCAATAGTAATGAGCAGATAGAACATATAACAAGAAATACAACTGTCCTAGAAACAAATGAGAAACGGGTCCCTTTCACTAAAAACTAAAGATATAGAATTCCAGTGGGCTGTAAATTAAATAGAAATACAAAATAAGTTAATGGAAAGACAACTTGGCAATATGTATTAAAAGCCTTTAAAAGTCTGCATACTTTTTGTAGGTTAGTTTTATTAAGTTTTAATTTGTAAACAGTAAAATTCACTCTGTAACATGTACAGTTTGATGTATTTTGACTCTTATGTATCATGTAGCCATCAAATATAAAGCAGTTTTTTCACTCACAAAAGCACTTCCATCTCCGTTTGTAGTCAGTTCCTTTCTCTTGCCCCATAACTAGAAATGATTTATTCCCCTGTATCTTTATATTTTCAGGAAGTTGTGTAAATTGAATCAGAAGGTATATGCTCTTGTGTCTGTCTCATTTATGTATCATAATGCTTTTGAAATTTATCCTTATAGTTCATTAGTAGTTTGTTTATTTTTATTGCTGGGTAGTAGTATTCTATTGAAAATTACCACTTCTCTATCTGTTCACCTGTTGGACATGTGACTTGTTTCCTGGTTTTGATTATCATGAATAAAATGACTGATCTAAGCATTCATGTATAGATTTTTGTGTAGGCTTATGTTTTCATTTCTTTTGGGTAAATAACTGAGAATGAATTTCTGGGTCATATGATAATGTATGTTTAACTTAGAAACTACTGATTGCGTCACTACACAGTTCCATCACCAATGTGTGATAATTCCATTTATTGCACATTCTGGTTTTGTTAGTTTTCTAGATTTTAGCCCTTATAGTGGGTGTTAATCATGTGTTGTACTTTAAATTTGCATCATTCATCTCTAATGACTAATGATGTTGAACAAATTTCATGTGCTTTTTTGCCACTCATACATTTTCTTTGATGAATGTGCACATTTTTACATGGACTTGCTTCTGGATGAGTTGCAGAAAATCTTTATATTTTGAGGATAGGAGCCCTTTGTCAGATGTTTGTTTTGCAGGTATTTTCTTCATCCATGGTCTGTCTTTTCATTCTTTTACTGATTTCTTTCTGAACTCAGATATATTTAATTATGCTGAGGTCTGCCACTACACTAGTGGAGCTTCATAATATTGTAATTAAGTAGCATAAGTTTTCCAACTTTGTTCATCAAAATTATTTGGGCTATACTAACTGCTTTGGAATTCTATATATAATATTGTAGAACCAGTTTGTCAATTTCTAGGACAAAACCTGCTAGGATATTGTTTAGGATTGGGGTAAATTTGTAGCTTTATTTGACAAATTTTTATCTCAGCTTGTATAGAGTCTTTTATGATGTGCCAAGCTGATTCACTTGGGAAAGGATATCTTTTCCATACTCACTTTTGTTTCTTTTGTTCTTTTTGTTGTTGTTGTTGTTAACTTCTAAATATTTTCTTACTTCCCTTTTGATTTGTTTTTTTAACTCTGGTTTTTAGGGATTGTTGTTTAATTTCCAAATATTTGGGGGTTTTGAGATCTTTCTCTGACAGTGATTCTTAATTATGTTTTGGTCAGAGAACTACTCGGTATGATTTTAATATTGTAAAGCTTATGGAGAATTATTTAATGATTGAAAATATGGGCTAACTTGCTGAATATTTCTTGAGCTCTTGAAAAGAATATATATCCTGATGATTGTTTTGAGGTAGAATGTTTTGAGGTGAAATGCCAATTAGATAAAATTAGTAGAGTTGTTAAAATTCCTTTCCCTCCTGAGAAGAGTCTGGGAGCTTTCAATTATAATTATGATTTGTCTCTTATTCCCCCCAGTCCATTTTTGCTTCATGTATATTAGAATTTGTTTTTGGTTACTTAGAATTTTGATGTCTTCTTTATGAATTGTCTCTTTTGTTGTTATAAAATGTACATTGTTATCTTTGGAAAGTCACTTTGATGTTAATATAGCCATACCAGTTTCTTTTTTTGAATAATTTTTCCCTATCCTTTCTGTCTTCTGGTTTTTTTTTTAAATCATATTATTGTGGTACTGGGAGTACATTGTGACATTTACAAAAGTGCTTCATTAAATTCACTCCCTCCATCATTCTCCTTTATCTCCCCTCCCCCATTCTTAGAATAGTTTCAGCAAATCTCATTTTTCCATTTTCACACGCGTACATAATATTCCTGCCATAGTCTCCTTCCTAAATCCTTTCCTTATATCCTCCCCTCTCCCACTGGTACCAATCCCAAGACAGGACCTGTTTTACCTTCCTGTCCTCCACTGGAAACTAAGACAGAAAGAAAAAAATGGAGAGGATGAACTGATTTGGAATATAATACATATGTACATGGAAATGTCGTAGTGAAACTCCCTGTATAGATAAACAAAGATGTCTTTTTTTGTCTTCTATTTTTGCTGATACATGTAACTTAAATTTCATGGAGGGAAGTGTTTATTTTGAAATTTATTTTTAAACTTTGTTGACATAGGTCTATTGTAGCCTTTACTCTGAATACTTTATTCCTACTTTAATGCTGTGAAGTTCTGTGCTTTCCTGGAATTCGCCATGAGAATTTAGCACTCTGGTCAGAAGTAGAACATTGCTAGCTCTGTGAATCTTGGGAATTATTTTACTCCCTATTCCCCTTTCATCTTATAGACAAAAGTCTAGGAAGTCCCTAGATGGATTTCTGTGGCCTTCTCCTCTTCTCAACTCTGCAGTTTCAGGTTGTGTTGGAGCTTCTCCGAACTCAGTCTCTCCACTCATTGGGAGCAGTTAAGATGTCCTTCCCTGCCTGCTCTTGGATTGGATTTATCTCTCATCAAACCGGGGCATTTGCAGGACTCATCTGTTCTTTTTTCATTTTCTCATGGACTATAACCTTGTACAACCTGTTTAAAATCCAAAATTAATTATGTCTTTCGTTTTACTCAGTTTCCTAATTACATGCAGTGAGTATACAAGTCTAGCCTCT